AACTCAGCCAAGTTAATCATCAAAGAGAAAGAAAAATGCAAACAAAATGTGTATATCTCGTAATTTTCATCTGTTTGAATCAGTAAAAACTGACATTAAAAAAAAACCCTGCTCAGTTTACCTATCCCACTCTCAGTTTCTTCATCTGTCAAATGAGGGTGTTGGGACAAGACAACCTCTAAGGTCCCTTACAATCTTATATCTATGATCCTATGTTATTAAGAGTTCCTTTGTTAAAGCTAAAATACTCTTGATCAGAAACTGTAATGGATAGGAAGACTATCCCCAGCAATGTCCAAGATGAAATGGGAGGAGGATAGAGGGGGCACTGCTAGACCTGAATTTGAGATCTGAGTTCAAATCCTGTCTGTGTGACAACACGTCCCAAGCATTAAGTTTCCTTGTCCGTAAAAATGAGGCTACTGAAAAGCACTTAGCTCCCAGGGTCACTGTGAGGATAAAATGAGCTAACTAACAAACTCAAAAATGCCATATAAATGCGACTGCTTATCAAGTCTGTCCACTAGTATCATAATGCCAACAAAAAGTGTTAACTTTTAATATTTAGTTGCCATCACATGGATTAAGAAAACAATATCAGAGGATCCAAGTTCAAATCTCAGCTCCGCTTGCTGACTGCCACCTACCTGAGCAACCTTTGGCAATTCACTTAATCTCTCTTAATCTTCACCTGTAAAATGTGGGGAGTTGAACAGGGGATTTTAACCTGAGGATTATGAACTTTTTTAAAAAAATATTTTGTAAACTGCATTGTATTATTGCTTTCCTTTGTCATCCTACTAAAAACATTCTGAGAAGGGATTCATAGATTCTGTTGTGCTGCCAAAGCGGTCCAGGATACAAAAACTGATTTAAGAAGCCCCAATCTGTAAGATTATCTTCAGCTCTAAAGGAGTGATTCTTTGTTAACTATCCCAAATGGCTGGTTAGCAGGTAAGGGACCTCCTGGCCCACAGAAAGCTAATCTTGCATGGGGTCTAATTCCTTCTCACAGCACAAATCTCTGCTTGGAGAAGGAATTATAGACCCTGAATAACAAACAAAAGGTCGTAGCAGTTGGGGGCCCCAGAACCACAGGCCTAGCCGCCTTGAGATTCTTCTACCTCTTCTCCCCCTTCCCTTTCTTTTTCCAGGGCTCCCAGTGGAGGAGATGGCTTTATGGCTCCAAGGACAGAGCTGCTATTATATTCCAGATGTAAGTGAGAGGATCAGGCAGCACACCACAGCTGGGGATTTCCAACTCTCAGTGTGTGGGGAAGAGTTCTGAAGCCCATGGAGTGAAAGGAAACTCAGTGCCTCTAGTCTCACAGGAGGAAAATTAATATCAGAGAGGATAAGTGACTTAGCGCCCAAGATATCTTAAAATATTTTTTTTGTATTTAAATACAAAAATTAAATATTAGTTTACTTAAAACACAGAAAAATTTTTTTTAAAACAAGTTCATGGTTTTCTCAAATTAAGAGCCTCTGATCAACCCCCACATTTTACAGGTGAAGAAACTAAAGCCCAGAGACAGGAAGTAAATTGTGGAAGGTTATAGAGAATAGTAGAATCAGCATTTGAATCCAAATTCTTTAATTTTGACTCTAATGCTCCCCCCCTCCCCTCTACCAAGGAGGCAATTTCATGAGTTCCTTCAGGCAGAAGTTCACCCAGGAAAAGGATGGACTTAAGAAGGAAAAGAGTGGACCTCTTCCATATAACCACTTGCATACATCTAAGAAAAAGATTTAGCCCAGAAGAACCAAAATTTTTAGACTGCTTGCTAACAGGCCACGTAAGAGCTCTACCAAAGGAATTCACTGTTTCTTTTTTTTTTAAAAAGAAACATCCGCATTCTGAAATTTCATAGTAAATGCTATTTTCCTTCCCCAACTTTTTTGTAATAAAAGTACACTTTTAAAATTCATTAAAGAAAAAGGAGTGCTACTATGTATTAGAACAGGACTCAAGTTATCAAAGGAATCTTGAAGGCCAGGGTGGAGTTCCAATACCAGGAAGGTGTGGTTTATTTATAAACAAACAGAATGTAGGAAGAGCAAACCTCACACCCTTCTAGGTAAACACAACTAGAGAAAGGTCTCTTTCAACCAGACTCACCAACTTTATATAAAATTCTCCTGTTAGAAAAGAGTAGAGAATACCAATAAATATAATTTTAGCTCCGTAAGGGGCTTGCTGGGTAAGAGAGATTTTTTTAAAAAAAAATCATATATGAAACAAGACTTCAGAAGTCGTCTCCAGGAGAACTCTATAAAGAGAACTTATTTAATACCTTTTTTTCCCCCTTTCCACCTCCTTCAATTTCCGTAACATTCCTCCAGGGCTTTTGTTTTCGTTGCAATGGAACCCTAGGGGTGCCCATTCCACTCTCAATTTGGCTGGTTTTATAGAATCCTTTAGCTCTGTTCCAGTTCACAGAGCTCGGGTGGCATAAAAGGGTAGTAGTATTCTATTATAAAGTCAGAAATTTTATTTTTCTCTCCCAACTCTGAGCTTTAAACTACAAGAAAAACCTCAATAAACCCAAGTCAAGTTGACAAGCATTTATTAAGCACCTATTGGACCAGGTTTTTAAAAAAATAATATTTGTTTCATTCTGCTCCTAAGACAAAGAGTCAAATAAGAAAAAAATATATTTGAAACTGGGGACAGAAAGACATTCTGGGCACATATTGAGTACCCAGCTTCAGCAGAAACTTCTTAAATTCTTATTTCTGTAGAATAAGAATTAGCAATTAGAACTATGACCCTGAGGACACTTTAAGGTCAGAGAGGTCAAATTTAAACCCACTGTCTTCTGCCTATGAAGGTAATATACCTATTTTAGAAAGATATTCAACTAGAGGAATTCCCCATTCCATTAAGAATTCTGATATACTGACATTTTTACTGTATCTAAACCAAGTTTCCCGAAAATTTTAAGGATTCCAATCTATTTCTGGGTGGAAGAAAAGCATATATGGAAAGGTACCATCAGTTAGTTGCAAAGGGACACAGAGAATACGTGTATTTTGATTTCATTTATGATAACAAGTTAGGATGTTACAGAAACCAGGAATAACATTATAATTCATTTTATTTCCAGTTTTTGTGGGTTAGGTGAATTTTCTTATTCTCAATTACCAGATTAATTTAGCAATATAGGTATTTGTTTTTGCTCTAAACTAGACTCCTGAAACCAATTTCCATGCCTGATGCAAAGTACTGGAAGCACACTGGATAAAATGCATCATTTGACAGTTCTTCATCATTTACAAAATTAACCCTATTTCCTGGTACTGAAAAATCATTTGTATCTTAACGTACTGCCTGACATTTAAGGACTGTCAGTGCAGCTAGGGAAAGTTTATTCCTTGATTTTTTTCTAGTATCATTCAAAAGTTCAGAGAGAAGATCCTCTCAAGGGTTGGGGAAAAGAAAAATGGAAGTTTTTTACATTATCCTACTAATGCTAAACAGTTCTAAGATTCTTCATTTAAATATTAATTTTCATTGATAGTTTCCCTGAACCTGTTCAACTACACAATTACTCTATGCTCAGTAATAAAGTCTCATTTCTTTCAAGACAATTATTGCTTTATGCTTACTTGTAGGCGATTGTATTATATTTCACTGGGCTACTTTACAGAGATTTTCTACCAAAAATTACAAATAGTCATATCCATGGCAACTCTCAGTTTCTGCAGCCTCAGAGTGACCCCCATGTGTCTTGTAGAATAAACACTTTTGGCAGGAACAGCCGTGGCCAATACATAAAGATGATCTAATTTTAAAAGCTTCTCATTACCAGCCTTTGGTCCAAGTTTTCCCCTTGTGAATATATTCCGAGCACATGGAAGTAAAGGAAGGAGAGAGAAGAAGAGAGAGTAAGAGCTGTTATTCAATACTGACCAAGCTGGAACCTCCCAATGCTCAGTTATTCCCCCTTCTTTGAAGCCTGGGACTTTTGCCTAGTTAACTCACTCAGGTTACTCTAAGGCCAAATAACTAATTAGACAAAATGACTAGTAGCCAAAGTCGCCTAAAATTTCCTAAAGGTATTCATCACAATATCCTTTATTGGATGGCTTAGCCAACATGGCAACCAGGGTCAACAGATGCCAATTTTGCATTAAGTTGTTATAAGGAACAGATGAACAATATAATAGCTTGGATTGATATAGCGCTTTATGGCTAACAAAGTACTTTTTTACAACAATCATCAACATCCCAATTTTACAGATGTCAAAACTGAGGCAAAACTATTCAGGGATTTGCTCAAGGTCAGTCGGCTAGAAATCCCTGCCCTGTCACAAGATTAACCTAGAAAAGCAAAGATTAGTCCCATGCACAAAGCCAAGGTGTCCTGGTCTGTCTTTATTCAGTAGGTATTTAGATTTTTCCAGTCTTTATTCAATAGTTACAGCTGATAGGCTTCTGATCTGAAGAGTTGTTTTAACAATGCATTTTATACCTAATACATTTTACACTTAATGGAAATACAGAAACAGGAGTGCCAGTTGCAAACATCATAGTACTATATATGTCATTATCAGATTTTCACACTATGTAGTTAACTAAAGTAAGTCTTCAGTCCTTCATATCTAGTGGGCTAAAGAAGCTTATTACCCATTTCTCATTACCAGTTTAATTGAGAGCTCCCCTAAAATCAAAAAGATCTGGGTTCAGGACCTACCTTTAATCAATATTAGCTGTGTAACCCCAGGCAAGTCTCAGGTCTCCAGGCAACCAGAGGTGGTGACTACCTATACCAGTAGAGGGCCTTTGCTCACCTGGGAGTTCCTTATACCAATAAAGTCACAGGGCCAGTCCCATTACTGGTTATCTAAGCATTTATCAGTTACCACTGGTGGTTTTGGGAAACCTTCTACTCAGAAAAACTTATCAGGTAGTTACCAATAATTTTAACAGAACAAAAGGGCCCTTTTGTAACACAGAATCAGAAAAGTAAACCTTTCATCTTTGAAGACCTTACCACTGAGACAGGATCCATGGCCTCTTGCTTAATAGGGACAGGGTCAAACATCAGCATTCTTTTAATTAAATCCTCTAAGATGTTCTTGCGTTTTGTCTAGAAAACAAAAAAGAAAGGTATACAGCTGAAACCACCTAAATTGATTCCCAACATAAACTGGTACCCCAAAATTAAAATGAACCCCCCCACACACACAATATGTGTACTACTAGGAATGTCTGGAATTTGCTTCCTTAAGAAAGATGCCATTTTATATAATCAAAACCAGACTGTACAGTCCCAACCAGACGACAGGTCAACTAACATTTCTTCCAACGAAATAGAATTCCCCTTTTCCTTCCCACCCCAATTCTGAAAGAGTATGTGAAGCCACTTTTGAATAACCAAGCAGACTCGGCTTTCTCTTATTACAGATAAAGCATTTTATGCCAACAAAGAGATTCATAGTCTGGGTCTACATGCAAAATGAAGGTCGTGGGATACGGGGTGTATCACATCACATTTGTCTTTACCATCTAGATACAGGAACTGCTACAGAATTGGAATTACCTGGAATACTGGCATAGGCGAAGGTGAACTTTGTCCTGGGGCTTATACCCTGTATGAGGTCCAAGTGTTTTACACACACACACACACACACACACACACACACACACACACACTCTCTCTCTCTCTCTCTCTCTCTCTCTCTCTCTCTCTCTCTCTCTCTCTCTCTCTCGTGCAATAGACCTAATTTACATACCTCTTCCAACAGATCTCACATTAGCACAGCACAGCCCCAGAAGAAATTGTTCCCAGGTCAGAAACCACTAGCCCTAAAGGAAGAGCTAGTCTAGCTTCGGTGTGAACTCAGGCAGAGCACAGTTCTCACCTGTGCCCTAGCTCAATGCCGATCATTTGAGAGCAAAGTTGGCCTTAAAGAATTAGGTAAGACATGTGACCAAATCCCACCGTTCCCATTTTCTGTACTCTGGATGACAATGGACAAATCTCTCTGGGCCTCAGTTTCCTCATCCGTAAAATAAGGGAGATAGATTAGATGACCTTTAAGGTTCCCTCTCCATCTGGAACCTATGATCCATAGGAGCCTGAATCAAAAAGAAGTCAATTCCTTCAACTCATCCAGTATCCTGTCACATCTTTCTAACACCTTAGGGATCTCACCATCTACATACACACAATCTGGTCACATCTCCCAAATGCCCACAGAATAAACAGACCAGACACCTTGGCTTGCTTTTCCAGGCCCTCCATAATCTGTCCAGCCAGCCTTATCTCCATTACTCACCTTCAAGAACCCTCCTTTCTAGCCAAAATAGTTTACTCACTGTCTCCCTAAAACACATCTTGCCTTTCCTACCCTCTGCCCTTTTACCCACACTATTCTCCTTTCCAGAGACCTCCCTATTCTTCCAAATCCTGCCAATACTTCAAATCCCAGGTCAGAACCCATCTCCTCTAGAAGAAACTGAACCACCCTAAACTGATCATTCATTTCTCTGTGCTCCTCTAGAAATTATTCTCCATGGAAATAATTTATTAATTAAATCATACAGTCTTGGTATTCCTCTTCTTTTCTTATACTACTATTTAAACTTCCCACTTAACTTATGTCTTCACAACTAAAAGTAAGCCCCTTTAAATGGGGTAGTTACTTAATATTTCCACCTCTGTGCCTAGACTTACTATAACATTTGCTGCTTGAGATAATACTTATATTAATGATCTTCTACACTTAAGTCAACTTTCTAACTTAAGTATTAATATTATAGCTCCAAGGCATAAATTAACTATCTTTAGGGAAATAAATACATAATAAAGGTCAGCGTCTTCATGACACTGGTTATCATAAGAAAAAAAAGTCCAGCACAAAGCACTAGGTCTTTACGCTAATCTAAAGTACTACCGTTTAACAAAAAAAGCCCAAGGGTGCTATATGGCTTACTCAATCCATAAGCCTAGCAGCATTTGGTTAGAAGTTAGTCTCCTAATATTAGACTTTTAGGAGACTCTCACAGGATATAAATTCAGCAATACATATTTAATGATTGGAGTATCACAGAAAGACAAGGGAACTAGGGAGAAGTCAAGGGATAATGGTCAAACAGAACACTCTGAGCAATCATGAATAAGAAGAAATAATATAAAACTTATTAACATAAAAAAAATCAAACAATTTCTGATTTGGTTTGGAATTTTTAGAAACAGCATTAATCTTCCTGGCCCGAAAGAGTTGATGGACTTCTCCTCAAAGTGTCCAGTCTATATCTCAGAAGTAATTTAGGCACTGGGGAGAGTCAGGGTTGTTTTAACATGGTTTTAAATAAGGTGTGTGGTGTAGTGTTCTAGGGTCATTTTATTAAATGGAATCTGGCTGCAGAACCTAGTCTTTCTATGTAAGACCTTATACTCAATTGCCTTTCTTCTTATGTCCAGTAGATGGCAGGCTATATCCACCCAAACACCATGCTGCCTATCAAGTAAGGTTGATTTATGTAGGGGAATTTTAAATCACTTAACTTTAGTTAATAGACTCTATTAAAAGTGGTTGCCAGAGATATGGAATATGTCTCCAAGTGTATATAATGCTGTTTTTCCCCTTATGAAAGCTTCCTAATCAGTTACACTTGTATTTTAGCTTTTTTAATCAATTTACCCACAACCAAAGTCTGAATTACTTAACAAAACAAACAAAAAAAACACCTTTTGGACAAAAAAAACTTCCCTAATTTACAAGATTATTAAAGTCGAATATAAATTACACTTTAAGCTTTCAAGGAGAAAGGAGTTTAAAGTGAAAATTTAGGCCAGACAAGGTAACCGAAAATAGAAACAAATGTTTCCTTGTCAAGGAATCTGAGGCAGCATGGGGATGGGGGAAAAAAAGAATTAAAGGAGGAAAAGTAGCCTTTCAATTCCCTTTACCTTACACTCTGATCTTTCAAAATTGTCAAGGCAAGAGCCAGTATTTTGCTAAAAATTTAGTAAAATGCTTGTGTTACTCATTCATTTAACTTTTAGAAGTGGTACCACTTTAGAAGTGGGAACACTGTTTGGTCTCCAACTCCTTTCTAAAGCTCCAAAGTGGCCCCAAATTCATGAAAGGATTGTGCTCCAAAGTTTTAAAAGTCATATTTTCAGAAGTCAAAAATGCACTTTCCAAAAAAAATGTTATACTGTTCTTCAAAAAGAGCCTGGTTAGCCCGAAGTGTACTTCTATGGTCCCTAAGCCTGTGTTCCAAGAGCAGGGGACCACTGGTGAAGAAGTAGGAGGGTGGTTTTTTTGCATTTCTCTGCCTCCAGGTGTCTTGCCTCCTTCTCCAGGCCCTGAGTGTCCTCCCACTGCCCCTGGCCTTAAGTCTTCTTCTTACTGCAAAATCCCAGGAGACACAGAGTGCCCCTCCCCAACATACACCATAAGCTACAGAAGTGTTTCTCCCTTTTAGTCAAAATCCATTCTCCCTCAAATTCAGCTGGTCTTAAATAGGTATTAGGAAGAAACCAATTTGAATGACTTAATATGTAAATACAGAGTAGAGTCTTTTCTCTTCCCAGTCCAGTTAGAATTTTTAAAAGAGGATGTTAAAACAGCAAATAAAAAAAACCAAGTTAGGGGTAACAAAATCAAAACAAATTCTGGCCATGTAAGGGAAGGTATTCTTGGGCAAGAGAGACACCAGTTTCACCTTATGCCTTCTCCCCTACCCACCCCCACCCACCATATCCCCCCACTTACTTGACTGCCAAAGACTGTAAAAAGTTCCAAGTTTTCTTCACTCTAGTTCCCATGAAAGTAGTTGCTTGTGATCCCCCACAAACGTCATCTTAAGTCAGGCCCCATCTTTCCAATATTACAATGGAAAAAAAGCTTACAGTTACTTGGAAATTAATTTTACTTCTGTGACTTACTATCTTCAGAAACCACAAGCCTGGACTGTTTGCATGAAACCATATGGAACATTCTAGGAGTCTTTGCTCCTCATAAATTAAACCAGTTCTTTTTGCATTAAAATGTCTTAAATGGAAATAATCGTTAATTATTTCGTTTCAGATTAAATACAATGATCCACTAAGCAAACTTTCCCATCCTGTCTCCTTTCTGTTGCCCTCTCTCTCCTTTCGAACAAGCCACCCAATTTTACTTTCCGGGCTCCCACCCATTTTGCTACACCCAATGGATCCGGGCCAAAGCAGTCCAACTTGTCCAAACAGGACATGGCTTTTGATAAGATTCTGCCCACACCCTGTACTTCGGAAAGACAAGTGAAGCAATTGATTTTGCATGTAAATAAGGACAGGTGCAAAGGTAAAGTCCAAGCAAAATCCCTCCCTATTTCTAGACCGAAGTCTCAGAAAAGGAAAGAAAAATCCACACACAGAAATCCTTTATCAAAGGTCAACTCTCAAATTCAATGCCACCTTGTTAGCAGCAATCCACACCTTCCTAAACTTCAGCAAGCACTAATCATTTTCCCTACTAAGGTTACATACCGGTTTTCTTTAAATTGTTTGACAATTTTGCCTTTTAGGGTCCTGGGAAGCTAAGATTAACTACCTATCATTTGTAGCCTGCTTTATATATGCCCTTTCCTCGGCCTGTATCTCACAGGGCTTATAGTGAGAGTCGATAGTCTCTTCTGTAAAGCATTATATAATCAATTCTAGAGGGCTCACAGCAACCCTTCAGCAGACCACGTCATTCCTCATCTTTCCCTGGTGTATTTAATTTCTCATCTTTGCCTACCACACCACATCTCACTTGAACTGGAGTCCCACCCTGCTCCACCCTGGAGGGGACCCCACCCAGTGTCCCACCCTGCTGGGTGTGGGAGGATGGGAGGGCCTAATTGGCTTCAGTAAGTAGCCAGTTCCTGGAAATTCCGGCCTGAACAGGGATAGCTGGCAACCTTGTAAATAACCAAAATGTTATCATCTATGACTGTGGTAAAGTATTGAAGGCTCCTGAAATTTTTTTCCCCAAGCATCCAATGGACTTAGGAGAAAAGCAAGGGTCTATTTTTTACAACTGTCCTTACCCTCTAAGAAGCATCGCAAAGCTTAAAACAAAAACATCTGACATAAAAACAAAAAATAAAATTCTATGTCTAGAAATAAACCCCTTATATTTCCCCTCTTGCCCACCTCCTTCCCCAGCTTCCCTATTTTTTCATCAATAGCACACAATTCTCCCAATTACCCAGGCTGGAAACCCTGGGGATCATCCTTAATTCCTCCCCTTCCCTTCTCTTTCCTTCTATCCCCCAAAAGAACGAACCACATCTTCTCAATTCTTCCTTTGTCTTTCCTTTCCAAAGCCAAAAACCTAATCCAAGACCACACTGTCTCAAACTGAGATCCGTGCAGGAGCCAGAGCCACCAGATTATGACCTTTCCCACCTGCAGCCATCTCGCCCTAACCATATACCCTATAACATGATCAAAGTTCATGTTTAAAAATCTTTACCAATATATCTCCTCTCCCTTCCTCCCATGCAACATTTATTAAGCTCCTCGAGTGTGCATAGCAATGCACAAGTTTCTGATATTAGGCAAAACTAGAAAGATAGAAATATTTGAATATTTGGATGAATTAAAGCATACGAGTGACTCGACCAGCTCTATACACACAGTAATGATAATGGGATGTCAGAGCTGAAAGAAAACTTAACAAACGATTCATTTTCTCCACCATCCATCCCTCTTTCACACTTAGACGGTGTTTGAAGGTTTACAAAATGCTTTCCTTTTGGGAGGTAGGTAGGCTATATAGTATTTATCCTGATTTGTACAGTCAATAAGTCAGTGAACAAGTATTTATTAAACCAAGTAAGGCTTAGGATACTAGATCTGAGGCGTGCAGGATTTCTAGTCCAACCCTCTCATGAGAAACTGGTCAAGTCTAGAACCCAGGGAAACACATCGGAGATCTGTTGGCCACACAGGATTGTTTGTGAAAAAGATGCTTCGGAAGACTTCAAAGTGCATAAAATATGGATCATTATTTGGAAATTATTAGAGTAGTCCAGGCAATAAAACCCAACAAATACTTAAGTATGCATCTACTATATAGATGACTATTAGGTCCCTGAGATGCAAAGGCAAAGTCCATGTTCTCAAAGAGCATTTGTTCAAAGGATGGGGGTGAGGCAACAGGTACATAGGTAAATATGAGCCAGAAAGAAAGTTTAGTTAAAATAGCCCTCACAGAGTGCACATACAGCCTAGTACCATTCAAAGGAAGTTTGAAGCCATCCTTTAAGAGTGTAAGATCTACAAGGAGTAAATGTGAGAGAATTGATAGGAACAAAAATGGGCAAATGGATATAAAGCCAATGTACTGAGGAAGGAAAAGCAGGAACTGTAACTTCCTGAAGTTCTTCAATGTCATATCATCTTAACCAATAAGAACTCAATGGGTACATTGCTCTTCTCCAAAGTGGAATGGCCCCTTCTAAAAAACGTTTGTAACCAGGAGATGGCAGATAAATGTACACTTGCAATTCTAGTATTCACAGCTCCTAGGCCATGGCATCTAGGGCTCTGAGGACAACATGTAAGAATTTAATATTAATGGAGTCACACAAACACATAAAGAGGGAGAAGATGGGACGGATGACTTTTAGCTTAAACTCAACTGGGGCAGTACCTCAACGCCACCCCCTCCCTCAAAGCAGTTAATTATAGCCCCAGTCCCATCATTCTTGGATTAATAAATAAGTAAAAGAAACAATCTAGGCATCCAAACTTAAAGCTATCTATTATTCTGTTTCTCTGACACACCTGTACTTTTGTCCATAAAAATCCAAGGGAAAAATTGGCAGCTTTATCTAAGTCAATACGGAAATCCTCACTATAATTCTATGAAGTTGGAAGGGTCAGGCACTTTCATCCCCATTTTAGAAATGAGGAAATAAGAGGGACAGAGGTGGAAAGACTTGCCCAAGATCAAACAGCTTGTCTGAATTGTAGCCAGGACTAGAAATAGGCCTAATTATTTTAGATCCTTCTATGTAATGAGGACCTTGCAGCCCATGCTGGGGCCCTGTCTTTTAGGTGAAATCACCCTATAAAGAGGCTCTTTTTGGCAGTTCAGTAATGACACCTCACTGGACGGGGTCCAAGAAAAACTTGCCTTCTTCTGAACTGTTCTTTATCAGTATCATAGCAAAGTTCCAGGGCAAGAAATCAGATTGTGAATGCTTTTTTCAGGTTTGATCTCTGAAGAACTTCACACACCTCAACCTTACACATAACAGGTATATAAGAGATCACTATTGAATGAAATGAACCTCAAAATAGACTCCCCCACCCAGTCTGGTTATAAAGGGTATCATTAAGCCTACATTCCTCTTACTTGATGAAGAAAGCTTTTGTACTATCATAGTCTAAAATGCTTAAAATTAGAATTTTATTTAAAAAATTACTAACTACTAAAAAAATATCCTAAACAATTAACAGGAACAAAGTTAGACAAAAACTGATCTTCTAGGTTGGATAAGAAATGGCCTTCACTTTTAAGAATGTTTTCACAAAGTGGTATAGGAGAGAGAAGCTTTGGGGAGTGTCAGGATGCAAAATACTGAAACAGATAAGGGAACTGAGTTAAGTGATTAAGCTCAAAGAACAGTAGTTCGGAAAAAGAATAAAGAATAGGAGCAGGAAGGAAAAAAAACCCTTTATTTACAGGCAGCCCTTTTTTTGTGTAGAATGTACTAAGCTAAATGACTGTTTGACTCACTGATGTTCTGAGGTCAGTCTGGTTCAGGCCAAATTCCTTAGATTTAGGTCTAGACTGGCCCCTAGTCATCCCTGGGGACATCTCAGGCCTGCCAAAGATCATCGACAATCTCAAGGGTATCCCAGAACCAACCTAGGTCCCTCTAGATCTTCCAGATGAAGAGGCTGATTCACATTCCCCTCTAATTCTGGACTAGACCCAGGGATTTGGCTGGAATGGGCCAGCCTCAAGCATGGAAATGGTTTAATGCTCAATTAATTTACTACATTTTACTACTGTCTGTCTCTCTTTTTCTTTGGAGGTGGGAGGGATGATGTGTAAAAAATGGGGCAGGAAAAAAATGGAAGAATAAGGCAGTATTTTGCTGGAGTGTGCAATGGCGGGGAGGGGGGAAGCTTCCCCATTTTGTTTGGTGTTTTTTAAATACCAATTTATTCTAAGACTAAAAAAGTTCAACAAAGTTTTTAAGTTATACAGACAACTTCAAAACTGCACAGAAATGTCACATTTTCCAGAGTTTATATAAGACTGGTTAAAAATCAATACATTCTTATATAGAGGTATATATAGCTCATCCAGACTTTTGATTCAGAAATAGTAGATTTGCATAGCACTGTGTCTCCTTTATTTTAATAACCACTAGACTCCAAGGGAGGAGGAGAATGGAGGGGGGAAAAAGCAGGGGCTACCTCCCTTAGACAATACCCTGCCTTATCAGGGCAGACTGCTGTCTGGTTTCCTGTCTCTGCACTGGAGAGAAGAAACAAAGTCTAGTAAAGTGAACAGATCAGACTTCTAAAAACAAGTATGCTCAATAGTGTCTAATAATCCTCTCATGCACATGGACTTTAAAATTAATTTTGGTATGGAATCACATAGATAAATAAACCAGGCCTTAGTTTTAAGGAAGAAATCCTGGGAAATAAAGGAGCTGAATGTTTGGGCCAATTTCAACCCCTCTTTAAAGAAAAATGCAAAAATAATGCCATTTCCTAGTTTTTAAGGATGAATTTGCCTTTTTTTTTTACTTGCTCAAACAAAACTGGGTCACCCATGAATAGATCTGACAACAGGGTATGAAGTTAGCATCTAGGAAAGCTGAAGAACAAACAATTCAGCTTGTTAATTTTATAGAAAGACGGGGATTTAGAGAGGGAAAGGAGGTGGGAGATAAGTATCCAAGGGGATTTCACTAGGGGAGAAAAAAGATGAATGGAAAAATGATTAAATAAATGTGGACTTTTCTCAAGAGATGAGGCTGTTGTTCTCCAGCATACCAATGTTTGTTAGTAATTACAATGACTGTGTACCAGACATTAGTAAAATTTCCCATTATTTTTGAGTTTATCATTTAGAAGTTTGCTAAAGTTTCA